ATTCCCTTCTCATAATTCATCATACAATAATACAAATCTAATTCCCTTCTCATAATTCATCATACAATAATACAAATCTAATTCCCTTCTCATAATTCATCATACAATAATACAAATCTAATTCCCTTCTCATAATTCATCATACAATAATACAAATCTAATTCCCTTCTCATAATTCATCATACAATAATACAAATCTAATTCCCTTCTCATAATTCATCATACAATAATACAAATCTAATTCCCTTCTCATAATTCATCATACAATAATACAAATCTAATTCCCTTCTCATAATTCATCATACAATAATACAAATCTAATTCCCTTCTCATAATTCATCATACAATAATACAAATCTAATTCCCTTCTCATAATTCATCATACAATAATACAAATCTAATTCCCTTCTCATAATTCATCATACAATAATACAAATCTAATTCCCTTCTCATAATTCATCATACAATAATACAAATCTAATTCCCTTCTCATAATTCATCATACAATAATACAAATCTAATTCCCTTCTCATAATTCATCATACAATAATACAAATCTAATTCCCTTCTCATAATTCATCATACAATAATACAAATCTAATTCTCTTCTCATCAGTCATCATACAATAATACAAATCTAATTCTCTTCTCATCAGTCATCATACAATAATACAAATCTAATTCTCTTCCTATCAGTCATCATACAATATTACATATCTAATTCGTGCATTTTTTTCTCGTCGTCGAAGAATCATAGTTTGCAAAATAGTCTGAAACCAACAAGTGTAGAACAAATGAACTGATTATTCACCACAAACTCTAGTTTTATAATGATTATTTATTTGAAACGTGATTTTGTTCGATCAAATAATCATTAGTCAAAGTACTCAGTTCTTGTTTATATACAAAACCGCATACTTCGACGATCGCCATTAAATGCATCAGAAGCTAAATCAATGACTATATTTAAATGCATTTTGCACAATTGTGTGCAAATAAAGCATAAAGCACAGATTATCAGTATGAAGATTAAAAACCAGTCAAAATTCTTTAAAAAAAGACGAAATTAACAGGTAAAAATTAATTCTCTTTTTGTCGTCCTTTTACTTTCATTTTTGAAATTCTTGGCAACATTTCTTAAGCAAAGGCAACAACAAATACGACTTCCATAACACATTTTTTTTTCAATATCATTATTTCTAAAATTTAAGAATTCATTTATTGAGTGTTAACCTTTTTACTTTGAACTACTTTCTCGGTTTTATATTTTTTCTTGTAATGTTAGCATCTTTTCATGTTTTTTTCTGGTTCTCCTTGTAATGTTAGCATCTTTTCATGTTTTTTTCTGGTTCTCCTTGTAATGTTAGCATCTTTTTATGTTTTTTTCTTGTTCTCCTTGTAATGTTAGCATCTTTTTATGTTTTTTTCTGGTTCTCCTTGTAATGTTAGCATCTTTTTATGTTTTTTTCTGGTTCTCCTTGTAATGTTAGCATCTTTTCATGTTTTTTTCTTGTTCTCCTTGTAATGTTAGCATCTTTTTATGTTTTTTTCTGGTTCTCGTTTGATTGTGCATGTTTCTGATATTGCTTTTTTCTAGTTTTTACTCTATGTTCTATTTTTTGTTTTTGTTCTTCCTAAACTCCTGTTTTGTTGGTCAATTTTTGTTTAGCTACGGTAGTAAACGATGAAATCAATATAATGAAGACGACTTTTTTATTTTAGTTTTAATTGATAACAAGCTTTTTTCAAATAACAAATTTACAAGCAATTAAAATGAATCTTTTTAAAATGACAGCTTCTCTTTGTTTCCATAATATTGCTTATCCATACTGTTTAAAAGCTTGATATAAAAGAAAATTAAAATTGAAAGTCGTCTTCATTATTTGCTATAATTTTTACCGCCGTATCGTTTTTTTCTTGAAGTTTCTCTTTTTATGTAGAGTTTCAAATCCGATAACGAATGACGTGCTTATTCAATAATCCAACTTTAATAATAAAATGTATACTTTGAAATAAAAAAAAACATTATGGTTAAGTGAGACCCTTTAAACTGTGGATTAGAAAGTCGGATGAACATGAAACACAATAATTGTGTCGTGCAGAAAATCAAATTTTATAAGACAAACATTTTCTAATTTTGCATCGAATGATAAATTGAAATATTTTACTGGAACTCGGAAGAATTGTTTTTTATTTAAAACATGTGTACAGTGTACAGTGTTGTTGACGGAAAACAGCAACACGCTAGACAAATCAGGATAATAGGCCGGTTAGGATTCTGGTGGGGGATGTTTATTATCCCCAGACAATTCTTTCCCGATAGGCCGCACAAATACACACACAACAGAGTAACCCCGTCTCAGAAATTCGATAACAAAATCTTTATCACTAATGCTTCTTATGAAAATATTTTGCTTAACTTTAATGATTTCACAACAACGAAAATATTTTAAGCTCCGTCGGAGGAGGACAAGGGAATTGCGGGCTGAAAAATTTGGTTTGGCTGTCTCCGACAGGAGATTCAAGTTGAAGACGACATTTTATAGAGGTTTTAAAATTAATGGTTAACAAGTGTGCACAAATAAAGACAATATAAAAAAGAGACATAAATATATTTATTTATATTTGTATTTTAGTAGCTAGCATTTATTTATTTATGAGCGATCAAAAAAAACTAAGAACGGTTGTACTTATAGAGCACATTTTTTCTTGTAACTCCCATTATGTATTATTTGAGTGAACGTTCACGGCCGGTCAAAATTAGAATATTTACTTTTCAGTCTAAAAAATAATTTGGATTTTCTATTTCTAACTGTAAATGTTGCAAAACAGAGCATGACTTTAGTGTGATAAATCAAGGGGTGTCTTGATATTTTGAGCCTCTTGCTAACCTGGCTTAACATTCAATCTTAAATGTTAAATGGGTTGATCATTTCTAAGTTTTGAGAAGATAACCTGATAATGCCATTGGGGCCTGATAACTTGATGGGTGGAGGGGGATGTCTTGCAAACCTAGTGTTTATAGATTTATTTAAGATTTACCCAGAAACAGGTAGAAATAAGATTGCTTGATCGTCTTCTTGAAATGTACTGCGGCATTACCGATACCACGTTGTGAATCGTGCATACCACTCTACAAACGGAGGGTAACTTAAAAAATTCGCCATAAAAAGTGTGGAACTATCAAAGACGATATTTAAGTATTGTGCAGTCTCCACCAATTTTCACAGTTGTTGTTGATTTTTATTTCACACAACATAAAACTGCAGAATAGGAAGACGACTTTAAGACCCAAGTTATAATTTTAAATAGATCCAGCTGAGTATTAGGCACAGCATATTTACACTGTATACGGAGCCACATTAATTCACAAAATACTTGTAAAACTTTTTGCTTGATATCAACACCAAGTAAATACTTTCCTTTAAGTGACAAGTGACCCTTATTTGAAAGAGTGGCATTTCTGATTCACAACAGGACAAAACTGGTTTGGACCATGGATATACAGGGTGTCCCACATCATATTAGATCGTCAATGGGTCTAAATTACAATTTCCGGGGCCAATCAGAAAATTTTAGAAGAATAAATCATTTTGAAAAATTGAATAAGGCTAATATAAATATTTTCTTGCAGGAAATGTTATGTTTTTCGAATATTATATGTTTATTTTGGCGTAAAAGCTTGGAGATAATCTAATATGATATGGGACGCTCTGTATAATAGAATGAATTTATCATAGACAAGATGGTTTGATGTAATTTTACAATTTATCTTTGGTTTCGTAAAGTTAATAGTTGTCAAATTAGAAATTTATCCGAATAGTGTGTACGCTCTGTACACTTTTATATTTATATTGGTTTTAAATTCAAACAATCAACATTAAAACACTAGTTATCAAATAAAATAATCATTGTAGGTGCTAATAATGGTGGGAAAATAACAACACGGTTAAAAACTTCTAATTTTGTTTTTTTTAGGTATAGGATAGGATGCTCTCCTGCTGAAATAAAGCTAAAATTGTGATTTTGTTACGCATCTCATGTGTATAAAAATACCACATATTTCAAAACAAAATTTGTTAGATGTCATTAAATATAGTTTTGTAATAGTCTAAAGCAGAATTTTAGGTAAGTAACGTAAGCAAGGCCCGAAAAAACCTTGGTTTTAAGTAGCTCCAAATATTTTTTAACCAATTACATTGCAATCTGTTTTAAGATAAAGTTTATCTAAAAAGATAATAAAGTTATGCATTCTAACGGCAAATTACGTAAAAAGCAATGATGGAAATGCTTAAAAGTCCTAAATAGAAAAGACGACATTCTATGGCTTCTTATTGAACCCAATGGAGGCGTCTGGTTTTGCGTATAAATCCCAATGCCTACTCTAAAACTTTGAAAAATTTAGTCTCTTTCTTTGTATCATAAAAATTGTCGTAGATACTAAAGATTTGAACAACCAATTGTTGATATTTTATGCTCTGAATTTAAGACAAATTTCTTAATATCTCAGTCAATTCTCAAGGTCCATTTGTTGCTACCCAACTCTCAGGAGGCAAAGTTATGTTTACAATATTTTAGCTACAGTATCTTATTTCTGCTTACTATACCAAAGCTCCTCTCCGATGTGGACCCTGAACTTCACTTCAAACTTTTTAAAGTACAAATAATTTTTATAGAATAAACGATAGCCAGAGTGAAAATTTGTTAGATTGAAACCTTAGATGCACTATGAAGAGATTAAAAAAACTTCCCAAAAAATCTAGGGTCCACTCAGCTATAACAGCTTTTGAAGCACACCCAGAAAAATACATGTACGCTGGCCCAGAATATTATAGATCGATAGATAGATTATAGACATCTATAAGGGGGCAGTGAATTTTGAGTATAAAATTATGGCCTTACCTTACCTTTGGGGAAACGGGGGGATGGGGCAATACAAAACAAATCTAGACAAAAAACCTGTATTTTTCATTGAAAAACTGTACAATACATAAATTATTGTTAAATAAATAAATAGATAAATAAGTACATTATGTTTCACATAAAACTGTTGAGATAGGTAGATAAAGTCGTTGTTATAAACATCAATAGAATAAAGTCGACTTTCGATTTCAATTTTGATTTTTTACCAAGCTTTCAAACTTCATAGAAATACATAAAAATAAAACAAAGAGAAGCTGTTCATTAACAGGTTCTCTTTGTTAACTTGTTAATTAACAGATTCTCTTTGTTAACTTGTTAATTAACAGGTTCTCTTTGTTAACTTGTTAAGTTGTTAACTAACAGTTTCTCTTTGTTAACTTGTTAATTAACAGGTTCTCTTTGTTAACTTGTTAATTAACAGCTTCTCTTCGTTAACTTGTTAATTAACAGGTTCTGTTTGTTAAATTGTTAATTAACAGCCTCTCTTCGTTAACTTGTTAACTAACAGCCTCTCTTCGTTTACTTGTTAATTAACAGCTTCTCTTTGTTAACTTGTAATCTTTTAATTTAAAAAAAGAATTAAAATCGACGCTTGAATAGAAAAATAGTCTCCATTGTATTGATATGAACGCCGACCACTATAGATAGAAAGATACACAGAGGTTAGGCGCTATGATGTTTCCAACTCTCGTAAACTTTATTTACGCTCTGAAATAAATAGAAAATTTATTTTCCAAACTAATTTTAAGGTTTTAAGATTTAAAAAAAATGTATTCACTTCTAAGAACGGTTGTTTAATTGTGCTAAACCATAAGTTTAGCTCATGTCTGTAAGGAAATTGTCCGGTTTTATTGTAATCTGACAAAAAAACAAATACAAAATAAAAATAGAATTGTAGAATTGAACATTCCTTATTGTTCTTTTTTATAAAAGTTTTAACTTTCAACCCTCACAAAGTTCTAAACTTATACGGTAAAAACCAAGGTAAAAACTAGAAAAAATGGAATTCCCATCGTCTTTTTATTATTATCATGTCGCTAAGGAAACGGAAGGACGAATACGACTAACCTAGCAAAGTTTTGGAATTGAGTTTACATTTTATAAAAAACATCTGGGCACAAAATAATGATAAAATGAGTTTAAAACGTTTTTTTTAATGCTTAAATTCTCAAAGAAAAGTACATTCAGCAGAATTTTCCAAGAAGTTTTTTTAAAAAATTTGTATAATTCTATTTTGATTTATTTTTAAAAACTCACCTTAAGGTTATTCCAATATCCTTTCAAATCCTTCCTCCATAGATTGTTGTCCACAACCTGACCAACAATATTATTTTATCCTCAAAACGGGACAGAAAATTCTTTATTTTAATTTATGTTAAAAAACTGACCAAAACTGTCAACATAACCCATCCTTATCATTAACAAGAAAGCTAGTGGAAATATTAATTACGCATGCGCAAGAAACATACATTGACTAGCAACCGCCAAAATAAATAACTTTCCTTTTTTAACAAAAAAAAAACTATTTTAAAGAATTTGCGAGCACCTAAAAATTGTAATTTCCACACCTATCTAGTCACAAGAAACAAAATAAACAAAATAAGAATAGTTGCCACAAACTCTGATTTAATCCCAATCTTTGGAAGACTTTAGATATTTCAAACAATTTTGGATTGTATAATATTTGATATTTTGGAGGTATAAAATGTGTGTATAAGACGTGTTGAGTTCACACTACTTAAGATATAAACACAGTCCAAGGTTTAAAGAGTAGCATTGTAAATCAGGCAATGTCATCTTTGCAACAAAATTCTTCTTCTCATAACGGTTTTGGAATTTAGAAATTTACAGAAATTGAAGATTGAATTTTAAAACGACGAAATCTTCCTTAATGTTGCTCAATTAAAGGTTGGAGGGTACCATTGTCAGTCAGTTAAAGATATTTACAACTGCAATAGTTTTGATCATTACACTGTGATTTGAAGTTCTCACGTTCTCAAAGCAAAAATTGATGAGAATTTTTCCAATTACTTCTTAAAAACTAAAACTAACAATTGCTTTATAGTGCCAACATGTTTATAGAGGGATACAGAAAAGCATAATCGAGTTAAAACGGTAAAATCTGAGCTCCAGGTGGTGCGTTGATGGGACTCTTTATATATAGGTTGAATCTATGTGAATATGTTTTATCTTAAGCTTTCTGAATGCCCTTGTTCTTTTATAATTTATAATGCTTTGTATTTATATATCACATTTGGCTAGACGCTTGCTAATAAATATTCTAAAAGAATGGACCCAATATATTGATTTGTGTGGAATTATTGTAATTTATTTAAATGAGTTTAATTTGATAAATGATTATTTCCATCGCTGGCCAATTATATAAATTGTCTAAATAAACAATTGAGCATGAGCTCCTGTGCTTAGGGATGGGCATTGGTTTTTCGAACGAGCGAAATTTTTGGAAACGGATGAAATCTTTCGTGAAACGGGTTTCGTTCAGGAAAAAAAGTACAAAGGACGAACAAAATAGATCGTTCAGAGAAATAAAAAAATTTCTTTTTTAAAAAGAACTATTTAAAATCGTTCAAAAAAATTGAAAAAAAACTTTCGTTTTTAACTGAATAAACGAATTGTCCAAAAAATTTAAAAAAATAAACCGATCGTTTTTTTACTTATAAACGATTTTTTGCAACAAACTTCTTAAAGAACGATAGTATTTTACCGAACGAATTATTTATTCGAACTAATTTCTGAAAAAACTTTTTTGGCTGAAATAACGATTTGATTAAACAACAGATTTTACTGAACGATCGTTTAATGAGAAAACGAACAAAAAGATGGAAAATGAACGATGATATTGAGCATGAACGAAATCAATTTTTTGTTTACGAACGATAAACAAACAAAACAAAAAAAGTAAAAAAAAAGTCAAACGTGTCCTTCTCTAGCGTGGCCCGGAAACCAGAATTTAGAATCNCCCCAATATAAAATCCAATTCATGGTTTTATACGTTTATAGGTTTGTTTCATCAATTCGATCTTGATTGGATGTAAATAAAGTACATAAAGATACTTTTATTTATTAATAAAATTTCAATACGGTCTAGTTTCTAAAAATCTTTTGGAACTGCAAAATTCAAAATCTGATCCTGGCAATCCTTTTAATTTTATCCCTGCATACATTCCTTACAGCTCCTAGAATATACAGGACATTTGCAATTAATCTTTTTAAACTTAGAATTAAAAAGTTTTCAAGAAATCTATTTGGAAAAATCTTTTTAAAACCTTCCATAAAAAGCAGTTACAAGAAAACTCTTCAAATCCTAACTTACAATCAAATTAAAATCTGCCAAAAAAAAAATCCCATTACAACCTAACTTAAATTCGACCCTTTTAAATTCAAGAAAAAAATCTTTATAATTCCTTTAAAACCACCTTAAAACTTTAAAATTCCTTTAGATGTCAGAAAAATAAATACTTGCTTAAAGGGACTGTAAAGGAAAAATGAAAGGGGGTATAGGCTGAAAGCTAATCACTTTAGCTCTTGATCGCGACCCATGAAAGTTTTATCTGATGTTCCTGTCTCGAGAAATTGATATAAAACTGTGTTAAAATTATACGAAAGTTCATAAATGTAAAATTGATAAAATCTTAGACTTAAATCACGTGACCAGAACTATCACCAATGCCAGAGTATACTGATCAAGTGTCTCCGCCTGTATCACGTGACCACTTTACTGTTCTGCCATTGGTGGAATTTCTGAATAAAATCTATTAAAAATAGAAATAACAAATATAAAAGTAAACCTAATTTACAATTAGCTTTCTCTGGGATATCATCGTTTTCAGATTAGTTGCATATTTGCTGAATTTGATCTTTTTAAACCTACTACTTTTATACAAAATTGTATATATAATAATTTTCGTATAAATTCGCAAAGTTGTATATCAATTTCTCGAGATTGGAACATCAGATATGACTTTCATGGGTAGCGATCAAGAGCTAAAATGATTAGCTTTCAGCCTATACCCCCTTTCATTTTTCCTTTACAGACCCTTTAACAATCAAAATCCATCAAAATCTAAGTAATAAAAAAGATATACATTCGAAACAAATCTTTTTCAATCGTAGCATAAAATCTTTGTAACCTTCGCACAGTCCCTTCAATTCTTAAATTTAAAAATAATTTCCTGAAGAACATGATCACAGTCGACACTAATATACTTCTCAGGGTGGGACTGGTCGGGTACCTAGATTATTATTATTATTATTATTATTATTATTATTATTATTATTATTATTATTATTACTATTATTATAATTATTATCATTATTATTATTTTATTATTTCAATTATTATTGTAATCTCTAGTTTTTACCGGTGCACTGCTTTTATTTACATCAACATGGACTCCAATCTGCTCGAACTAGAAAAAAAATTTTGCTGTAGTTTGGTTTATTTCAGAAGTCTGATTTGTGAATAAAAATTCCGAATTCACGCAACCTCGTTTCTCATAAAATCACGAAACCTCTCATAAAATTCAGCTTTATTCAGAAATATTTAGAGGCGCACCTAAACCTACACTGGGGATGGGGTTGAGCTTGTATCTATTTGTTAGACCAAATAATTCCGGATATTTTAAATGAAATCTTAAATTAAAATTCCAACAAAAAATCAAGAATGAAAAGGGTTAAATCTGTAAATGTATAAAAATGTATACAGCAAATATGTGTATACACCGTACATACCTTATGAAGATCTATACCGGTAGAGCCCCCTGGATGCTGAACAGGGAAACTATGGTAGTCCTCTACAACCAACAGACAACATTTTTTAATGCGACCAATTTTCATTTTCTGTGCATACAGTAGGACCCATAAAATTGTGGAATATAAAGACGATATTTAAGCAATTATATTTGTATTTGATTTTATAAAAAGCAAAAGGTTTTACCAGCAGATTTAAAATTAACTTATCAAGTGAAGATGGTCTGTTTATGTACACTGCACATTGTTTATTTTATATTTAAAATCATTACTTGACTCTTACAGTCGTCATCCTATTCCACAGTTTTAAGGCTCCTACTGTATGAAAGCTAAAATTTTCTAATCTCTATATCTTTGCAATCTGATTTGTAAACCTTTGGTATTTTAAACAGAATTCATTGTTTAATTGCCAAATCTAAGGTCTGCGACGTTGGGTTGCAATTAGCAAAGATTTATAATCTATCGATGAAAGATAAATCAGCTTCGACAGACATTTTATTAACAAAAGTATATTTAAAATATTTTAAAGATCACGTCGCTGCTGTGGTAATTTTAAATTAGCGTTACAGTCCAAACTAGGACCACAAAGGTTGGCCCAGCTTCGGTATTCAAATGTACACCGGTTGTACGTGAGAAATTATTATAGAAACATAACATTGATTTTATTAATCAAAAAGTATATCCTTTAATAGCAGTTTGTAAAGTTATAAAATTTAATTCAGTTTGAGCTGTGTTTAAATATGGTTTACGCATTGCATTGAAAGTCTAAACATTACGCAATAAAAGGTTTATGTGTCTAGTCTGTTGTACGAATCATATCCTGAAAGTTGAAGGATATAGTACGCATAGAACATTTTACATGATATGTGACTAAATATTTACTCATTACATTGTATACCTATTGTTTCATTAATTTATATCGTATTAACTCCTAATGGCCATGGCCGCATTTTCTATAAGTTTGAAATTCATCCATAGAGAATAGAATATATATTAGAGGGGAATTTACTAGAAAAAAGTGTAAAACGGCCATTTTGTTGTACTGTTTCCATACTGCAGGTGTACTTCACATATTTATGCTATATAACTTGTTGGGTCCTGGAATATCATTTTATAGAAAATCTAAAACTATTGTTAAAAGAAAACCAAATTATGAAATAGGTTGGTTTCATAATTGACTAATGATCATTTCACATAGACTCTATGCCTTCCACTTTACAAACGATGATTTTCCGTTATAACTTTAAATCAAATGATGTCTTTTTATTCACCTAATTCATTATAAAGTTTATTTAACAGTTTAAAAAATTCGAAATTGAAATGAATAGTCTAGGGAACATACTGTATTAATGTACTCTACTGCATATAATTTGTGAACATTTACATGATTTGTACACTTTGAACTCCCTTTCAGTTTCAGGCTGAAAGGGACTGAAAAAATTCATACCGAGAGATTCTTAAAATTGCCCTCTAATATATATTCTATTCTCTATGCATTCATCCTCAAGCACCCTGGACTAACCAGCGTTTAAAAGGAATCATAACTATTTCAATTTATAACTTAAATATAAAGAAATTTATGTATCCTTTTTGCCTGGCGTGGCCGGACTTTTGAAAAACGCAATTTCAAGGCACTAAATTTACCATTTGAAAACGGAAAAGCCGGAAGACTCAAATGTTGTGGCATGGAAGACCGAACGGTTGTGGCTTAAATCTGCCGGAAGAAAAAAAACTAATATTCGGTGTGGAAGGGGGAAATATTGTGGCTTATGGCCACCATGCCTTCCCCCTTTGCACGAATATAAACCAGGGATATGTAGAGGAGGCGTTCGGTTTATTCAATTTAAAGGAACTGAGTTTTTGTCACAAACTCAAAATGTCTAATCCCTATATCTTTACAATCTGAAAATATAAACCTTTGTTATTTCAAACTTAGATTGTTAGGTCTAACGGAATTCATAGTTTGAAATATCAAAGGTCTACGACATTGGGTAGCAACGATAGAGAGATTTGAAAAGTAGAGTTTGTGACAAAAACTCATTTCCTTTGACCGGTTTAATTGAAACATTAAAAAATATTTAAACTTACAGAGTTGTCACTTCTTACTTTTTCATTCGCCAACAAATGAAAAAAGCAAAAATTTAATTTCCAAATTGGTCTAATTGTGATCATGATAAAGGCACTTTATTAAAATGCCTGATACCTCAATATAAGTCCTTGCAGGGTGTGAAGAGGGATTTAATTAATCCATTAATTAATGCATAAAATGGAGATTAATGCTTGATCCAGAGATGTACAACATTAAAGCTCTCTAACTGAGCTTAAAAACTTTAGAATAAAGATATCCTTAATCCCGGTTACTTAATCTGAGTATCCAATGGACACACTCTTGATTTTCTTCTTAAACCATTCTTTCTTGGATATAGTAGCGAAAAATCAAAAACCGGCTTTTCTAAGTTAGAGCTAGAGTGCCTCCCATTTCTGTATATAATATTTTATGGCGCGCAAAATTTTTAATTCATCGGCTTCCTATACGCAACTCTGATTGGTTGAATTTTATACACTTTTCAGGGATACAAGTACAAGATTAGATTAGTCTCGATATTAAAAAAAAAGATATGATCAAGCATTAATCTCGATATCCACCATTCTAAAGTTTTCAGCTCTGGTCAATTTTTAAGCTTGATTAGTTCTTTTTGCCGTTGGTCGCCACTCCCCATACGAACCTATCCAGTATCCACATATACTTTTAGTCGCCCTTGATACTAAATTCAATAGCTGCAAGTTTCTATTTCTAAGTTTTGAAGGAGTAATCATCAAAATCTATTAGCTATTCACCGTCAGGATGTAACATTTTGTTTATAACACCAAATTTTTCAAATTGAGTAAATTGTGTAGTGAAGAATTGTATTGTATATTGATATTCCGGTAGAAATTCCAAGTATTTTTATGGATATAAATTCCTAGATATATTACAGGTTGAAGGAAATATGACAAGAAGCCTTTAGCACAACTCATTGTATTCGCTTCGCTTGCTTTTAAATATCCTTTCCTTTTTTAACAAAACAAGGCTTTTGCCTGTCATAGTTTAAAATTAACTTCCGAAAAGTTTTGGTATATACTTTTTAAACCCTTACTTCTTTGAAACCTTAAGTCGTCAAATAAGATTTTCTTCAAAAAGCATGACACACAAAAGTTTACACCATCTGGTTGCAAAGATATTGTGATAAGGGAATCTAACTTTTAGTCTAATAAAAGTTTAAAAGTTTTAGATTTTGTCTTTCCTTTTAAAGATTGTAGATGAGCACAGATCTCCTCTCTAGTATGGTATTCAGGGTCGTACACAGGATCTTGTACATGCGTAGTCGAGGACTGTACGGGCTGCTGTACATGCGTAGTAGAGGAGTGTACGGGAGTGTTTACTGGCTGTACCGGAGTATATTCTAAACAATTATGTACGTTTGGTTAATGTTTACTAATTGTACTAGAAAGAAAAAACGTATTATTATATATTTTTCCCAAAAAAATGTAAAGATTAGTCAGGCAAGGAATTAGCAAAACCCCCATTCACCATTCAATGGGGAAAGCAAAAATACAAAAAATATGGCTACCCAAAATAATATTTTCTCAAGCCCCTCCCCCCTTTCGACGGATATCTTTAAAATATTAAAACGTTTAACAGTGGATTAATTCTATAAACCCTCCTAAAGCAATATTTGTATAGCTGGGTGGTGCGCGTAGCTAATCTACCCATTCTACACGTTTACGCATCATAGTTTACTATAGAATAGTTTTAAAGAAAGATGATGTTGAATAAATGTTCAAGTGGTCACTTCCGTCTGAAAAGTGATGTATGCGATTTGATAAGTAATTGAACTTATATGTTTTACCGTTTTTAAGAATGTAAAAGTAAAAGAAAACGATGAGTGTTGTATTTAGATTTAATATATATATTTAAAATGTATGAAAATGTTATTGTATTATTCTTATAATTACTAATTTTCCTGTGTTCTATAGCTTTAATTTTTCAAATCAAATAATCAAAAGTGTAAAAAAAGTTAAAATGGACATTTTTGTTATCATTAAGATATTGTGCAGTTTTACAAACAAATTATATGAAATTAGAAATAAAAAACCTATCTGGTTTGACGGATACCGAATTCATGTAATTAATTGAAATGGACAATAATCAACGTTTTAACCAATGTCTGTTGAACTGAGGTTTGTTTATATTCAACATGTGACGGCGAAGGACTGCACAAAAACTGTTTTTTAAAGGTAGTGATAATATGTCACGCTAAGCAAACAAACGTAATCATGCAGATTTATAAATGATGAAACTGTAACTAAAATAACACTGTAGTAATTGATCCTTTTCTTACACTACCTGTAATAACTGGCTGGATTGGCGCGCCGTACTGTTCCTTCTCCTCGGTGTACCCTGCCAGGTCAAGAACCGGTTTTATTGGCGCACCATACTGTTCCTGCTCTTTATTGTACTCTGCCGCGTCAAGAACCGGTTTTATTGGCGCACCATACTCTTCCTCAGTATAGCTGGCCAGGTCCAAAACTGGTTTTACCGGAGCTCCGTACTCTTCCGCCTCGTTGTAGCTTGGCAGGGGATCTGTGTAGATTGGTTGGTCTACAATGTAGCTGGGCTGCTCAGGTGAGTAGCTGGGCAGGTCATCATTGTAGATCACCAGGGAGTTGTCATCAATTGGAGTGAACGGCACAATAACTAAAAAAATTAATAATTTAGAACCATATTTCTTTTCATTTTTAACGGTCTTGGGAGACACTAGAATCTCCCGAGAAATTAATGACTAATTTGGCGTACCGTCCCGTTTTGCCTCTTATAGTCTGATTTGTACTGCACAGCTTGCTATAGCTGCTTAAAAGTCAGCCCGGTATTTGAAATGAACCGGAGTTTGCAGTGAAGGGACAGTTGACGAAATTTTAAGTGATCCTCAATTATTTTACAATGTATTTTATATATTTATAATATTTAACATGTCTAAAAAATGTCCTCGAAATATCCCTGTAATAAGTATTTTTGGGTATTGTATAATGTATAATGTTTAAGTGTCCGATGATAAGGCAGTTTTTTTATTCCCTTTTACCCCATTAAATCTGGACAATTACGTTTCAGCATCACTATTTTTCAACTTCTTATTAAATTTTTTAGTTTTAGTTTTATTATTTATTATACTTTTTATCACATTCACCTTTAAACATAAACCTTTTGAGTTTTTTCAATCTTCACCTGGATCTTTCCCCGGCCCTTCCTATATTTCTCATCCTATTCTTCCTCTTCCTCCCTTATAATTCTTATATCATTAAACTTCTACCCCCCCCATATTCTAATTCCCCAAATTATTTACTTGTACAATTCTAACTGATATTTCACGGGACCAATCCGTCCTTCCTCATAATAGGCTTAAATATTATTTGTCTTGAGGTTAACGTGTATAAATTTTATAAATTATGATGAGAATGCATATTTATTAAACCATCATTTTTCATGATTTAATGTCAGGATCACGCCCCAGTATTTAGTATTTCGTACAACAAAAAGTGTTTTAAAAAAAGCATGTCGTAACTTCTTTATTATCAAAATTCAAAATCAACCATGGACTTCTGAGTTATTCATGCATTCATTGCAAAGACGACATTAAAGTTGCTGAAATAAATATTATCTGTTTACACTGTTATGTGAAAAATACTCGCGAGATGATATTTTCTTTAGCCTATAGTTAGGCTCACGTCTGGTTTACCCAAAATACCCCCCTCTATTTCCTTATTGGGATAAAAATCTATTAACAGTTGACACATTTTGGGCTCCACTTTAATCATTTGCAACAAAAAAATGCAAATTTGAAAAATTTCAAATATTTATTGCAACATCATGTTAGTAAGCAAAAAATGTGAAAAAAAAAAAAAGGGTGAGAAATATGATAAATGTTCATTTTTTAAAAGCCCTTGACATGGCGAATTCAAATATGCAAAAAAAATGCAATACTTTTAAAAAATAAATTTGTATTCAAGGAAAACTGAAAATTTGCAAATTCTCTTCAAAGGCATCTGTGCAAAATTCAGTGCAAAATTTCTTCGCAAAAATTGTGCAATCTACTTCCTTTTGTTTAAGGCTTTCCAAAAAGCTATAAAATGTCAAAATCCAATGACCGGAAGTAAGTCTAAAGATAGATTTAGTCTGAAACTCTGTATGCCTGAGGGACTCAGGCAGCAGTTATAAAAGCGCCGCTTTGAGTCTAATGTAAGGAGCATGTGTTAGTCAAAAAATCTGAACAGACTCAGACCAATACTTTTTGATTTATCTTCGAAAAACCTTAGGGGGGGGGGGTCCCACCCCCTTCTCAGCCGAAATTTCCGACGAAATTTCAAGAGACCCCCTTTAAAGAGTCATGCATGTTCGATTCACTACAGAACCCTTTTAAACCTTTAGCTGAGCAACACTAAGAAAGATATCCACGTTTTTCTTTCCGGACATTTTCTTTCTACAGCATAAATCCGCAAGCGACCTTCTTAAAAGATAAATAAGTATGAAATGAACGTAAAAAAAAATTGAGTATAACTTTGTATTTAGCTGATTAAAGAATGGATTGACTAAACCACGAGGAGTTATAAATTCAGTGCTCTGATCTGATTAAACCCTAGCTAAAGGGTTGAACCCATAAACTTGTCTTATCACAATATGAGACTGCAGCACTATAACAGGCGTATCACTATCAGCTCCTAACACTTTGTTTTTCGTTTACCTCGTCATTGTAAACTTTTTCTCCAAGTCAGACACGTCCAGGGGGGATTCTATTCAATTAAACCCAGGGATCTAAGGGATTGTTCACTAATCTGCTCCAAATCTGTTCATACAAATAGTTTAAAGATGTTTATGCATTTTTTTTATCGCAATAATCTTAAAACACAAGGACTCAAAATTTGCAAGCTATGAACGCAAAAGTGAGTTTTACTAATAAGGTATAAATGTCTAGGGCTACAAAAAAGCATAAGTGAGTAAATGAGGTAAAATCTATAGCAAAGACATTGATACATTACAAAGTCGACCCAGTCTTTAATACTCTGCAATTTTGTTCTGGATCTTTGCAACTATTTGATCTCTAGTCGACTCATTATTTAAAATATCAAAGGTTTACATTAAATTAAAATTGTGAGGTTTGAATTGTTCTCATTAAATTTTAAAAAACAAACAAACAATGGTTTAGGATCAATCTATTTGTTAATTAATTTCTGTCACTAATTTTAATTTGTTTTAAAGGGACAGACTGGCTATGTTAGGTAGTTGAACTGAGTATGCAGGGTTGTGGACAAATTCTTTAGGATTCATTTAAGACATATTAAACTTTTCAAATATCTGTAAATCCTGAGTTTGAGCGCAAAGTCGACGTTTAAAATCGTACTTTTGGGTGGATACGTTTTCAGAATTGTTTTTCTTTTTAATTATTAAATAAGGACGATAAAAAATGTAAACAAAATTCGACAGACAACATTCGAAGAATTTGTAAAAATCTGCGAATAAATTCATAGAAATTATGAAATTCTTGCATTGATTTATTGACAAATTTCTTTTGAGAAATATGTTTCTAACCATCTAATTAGTTTACTGTAAAATTTTTACATTAGTTTTCGTCGTCATTATTTAATAATAAAAAAACGGTTCTGAAAACGTACCCTTCCAAATTCATGATTTTTCGTTTTCTATGTCTCAAATGAATCCTAAAGAATTTGTCCACAACACTGCATACTCAGCTTAACTACCCTACACAGCCGGTCTGTCCCTCTAATGAAAACAGACCAATAAAATAGTGTAATAAAACCAGCCCAAAAAAATCGCACTACAACACCAGCAGAACAGGAACTAACAAATAAAGTAAACAAAGACAGTTGCATATAAAGGTTTATGTTGCTCTAATTAGACATTAATTAGGACCGTGGTGCACTTGATACATTAACGGTTAATTCTTGATTATCATGTATACAGTATACACTGATACAATACACTGATACAGCCTTGTATACACTGATACAGTCTTGTATACACTGATACAGCCTTGTATATACTGATACCACCTTGTATACACTGATGCAGCCTTGTATACAATGATACAGTCTTGTATACACTGATACAGTCTTGTATACACTGATACAGTCTTGTATACACTGATACAGTCTTGTATATACTGATACAGTCTTGTATACACTGATACAGTCTTTTATACACTGATAAAGTCTTGTATACACTGATACAGTCTTGTATACACTGATACAGTCTTGTATACACTGATACAGTCTTGTATACACTAATACAGTCTTGTATAAACTGATACAGTCTTGTATACACTGATACAGTCTTAATTTCTTAAGTCCTCACATTTATTTTATTTATAACGCATACGTTTAAAATCTGTATCAATAAAGCTTAAAATTTGGAATGATACCCTAGATACAATTAAATTTTAAAATAACTTATCTAATTCCTATATTTTTGAAACCTAATGGAGCAAACCTTTGATATTTAAACCTTTAATGTTTGATTAACTTATAGTTTGAAATATCAATTATGGCAATTATGGAAATCAGTGCTGACTGCTGGTCCAAAGATATTGTTTAAAATGTTTGGTTATTTAATCTTATGTTTATTGAGTATTAAGAAACCATGGAGGCCGAATTAAGAACCTCCAAGAATTGGTTCCAATTGGGCGCCGGCTCAAATCTGGAAACACCTTGAACCGTGTGTATGTTGAACTGCGTCTAGAAGCGGTTCAAATTTTATATTTTCGGCCTCAGTAGGAAATTTAAAATGAAAAAAGATCAACTTTTAGAATTAAAATTATTAAAATATTTAAGAAAAAAAGGTCAAGTTGTAAATGATTTAATGTAAACTATTTGACCGAATACAATTTCTCCATTGAATCTTGGACCCATTAAGTTAATATCTTAATGCTAAGAAATATTTTAAATTGTATTATTCTAAAAACTAACTCAAGGTTGGATGAATTACAGGAGAAAAGTAAATATTTGATTGTCATTGTACCAGGATTACAAATACACAGGATAAATCTTGTTTTATTACACTCCAATTCCCTTCCTCCCGGTCCAGTTCTTAAAACTACTCCTGACTTCTCTCTCCCTACTCGATCCCCATCCTCTCCCCCCTTCCTCTGTACCCGTCATCCTATTTCCCTTGTTACCCCATCCCATTTATCCCCCCTCACCCCCTTCTCTCAGTCCGTCCCACCCAACTATTAAAATCTTATCACTCAGTTCTTGCTGAAATAATTTGTATCGAAGTCAACCCAAAGACAAAGAGTAAACCCGAACCCAGCAAACTTTAATAAGTTAGGATTTTAATCTAATATAGAATTATAACAGTATCTAATCGCAAATCTTTCATACGAATTTGCACAAAGATAATGTTAAGATATAAAATTTAAAATTTTAGTGTTTTGAAATCTTGAAAAACATAAAATTTTAAGATTTTAGACTGTAAATTTGAAGTTTTATATTTTGTAATAATACGACCGAAGAATGGTCAGTTAACAAGATAAAATCTTGAACGCATTCATCATATGACTTAACAAAAGGGTTTCGTAAATGAAACCAACCGACAAGTTTAGAGGTGTTTAATATTTTGACCAGATATTTGTTGATTTATCAGAAGTAGAATCACGATATTCGAAAAACAGTGGGACCCGTAAAACTGTG